TATGGGTTGACTGGCTAATTACCCAAATATCAGTCTTGACATCTTTAAAATTAAATTCTTGAGATTACTATTATGCAGGGAATACACCCTTGTACCACCTTTATTTATCTTGCTACTTGAAAACAATTTTCTTTCTTTTGGTTCTTTGGACACTTACGCTTATTATTCATTTGTAACTGCAGTCTTAATGTTTTATATAAACTTTTGTGACTCCCCTTACAATCAGAACACATTTGTTTCAATTATACAAATAAAACACGAGTTATTCACTGGATTCATTCAGTGAAGAATTTTTTTTATCATATGACAAAGTGTTTTATCTTGTCTTCAGTGCCAAAGGAAATATATTTAATTCTGCATTGGGAAGAAATCTTTGTACAGTTTGTAATTCTGAATATGACTGATAATTCTGAAATGCATTGCTACTTCAATGAGAAGACTAAGAAAAAATGAAAAGGACTTACCGTAAGTCAGTTATATTATATGAACAGTACTGAAACTAGTGGAAACCATTTATTACAAGGGAGAAAGAGTACAGTTAAAGAAATGACAACATGTAATGTGATAGTTTTTCTGGCCCATCTAGGGTCTGCCTGCCCTTCTATGCCCCAAAGAAACATGCAGATGCTATATTAGTTATAAATACTGTTGACCTTTGGCTAAAATTTATTATTTGGCAGCTCAGTCTTAATTATTCACCCATTTTCTAATAATCCATGTATTTCCTTGTGGCCTTATCTTACCGGAGAAAAGGTCCAGGCCTCTTACTCCATTGGTGTCTACATCGCATCTGCTCAGCATATCCACAAAGAAAGGAAGAGGGGGTAGAACGATTTCCTGCTTGTCCCTGCTTATATTCTGATTCTGCCTGATATGTCACTTCCTGCCTGAATCACATGGTGACTTCTCTTTACTTCAATTCCCAGAATCCTCTTGAACTGCTAGTATCACACTGAAAAACTGCTTTATATTGTAAAAATCAAGGTGAATGTATATAGTCATATAAAGTAGTTCCTAAAGTTGAACAGTAAAAAATTAATTTCATGTATGTCCATGTCACACTTAAAAAGTATACTAAATGAAAAGTCTGTGTTTACAGTGAACTTGTTTTGTAGATACCTTACAATGTTAAATTTCTAACCATTTTGTACAGAGTAGCCCTGTGATCTTATTATAAGCATTTATACTTACTAATAAATTCAGAGAACTCCAATGCTGTTAGATCAAAAGTTATCTTTCTAGGGAGTCAAGTTTTAGGTGACTTATCATCTTAATTTTTATTTTGAATTAGGTAATATTTAGTGTCTAAATAGTATGACGAGTGGGTCTACCTATCTGAATTTTGTAATCACCTGCTTTCTATAGATATAGTCTGTTATAAATAATTTTAAAGTTTCAATCTTTTACTTTTAAAGTTTTAGCACTATTGGACAGTTGAGATTTAGTCAAATCAAATAACTATATTATATAAATTATAAATGCTCAATCAATACCTCAGGTTTGTTATTAACTAGCTCTTACAACTTATCCCATTTCTATTAATCTATGTGCTAACCCAATGCTCATGGCTTTTACTTCTATCCCTTTTTGTGTAACTGACTCATTCTCCATCTGGCAGGTGACTACTACTGACACGCTTATATCATCACTTTCAGTTTGTCTTTCCCACTGAACTTTATCCTATTCAGCTATTGGCCAGTCAGATTGTTTGTTAGATCAGTCATAGCAACATGTATTCACACAGTGTGCAGAATGACTATTCCATAGCATTCAGACATCCCCACCCCCAAAGAAGGTAATTTTAAAGGTATATGAATGGTGTTGTTTGCATTCAAAATTAAGTAGCTTTGTGCAAAATACTCTATGAGAGTTGCTTTGAGAGCATAAGAATCACTCTTATCACCAAAAGTAACTGAATTCCCCAGCAATTTGTATAAGATGAGAAAATGGTCCCAAACTCCACAGACCAATGAAAATTTTGATTTCAGTCTTGTGCAATAGAACAGAGTAATCAGACAGCCTATGTCTGAATTCTTGACTTAAGCAAGCTGTGACATACTGTTAATTGTGTATTATCAAATAGAGTTGTGATAATCTGAAAGTTTTAACCTTAACTGTATACATTAGTATCTATCACATCTCAGCTTCTTTTGACTTGCATGTACTTTATGTTAACTATAAAGGTAAATTGATACAAAATTCACCAGAATGATATTATATAATTAAAATAATAAACTAATTGTCTATATAATACCCAATTTGATGAACCTGAAAATACACACATAAACAAATGACAGTATACAGACTGAGGGAAATAAATTTATATATTTAGGAAAATGTATACATGTAACAAACTTAAAGTAAAAGAGACCATAAAATTGAAAACAAGAGCAAAGGTAGAATACATTGGAAACTTTGAGCGAGGAAAAGAAAGAGAAAATGATATTAGTATAAAAATAAACTCCCAAAACAAAAAATAATGAAGAATAAATGTTTTAAACAAAAAAATAGCTTCTCTGGATCTGTGGATTATAAGATGATAATCATTTGCTGTATGTCTAAAATCTATACATGAATAAGTACATACCATGTTTTCTTTTTCTGACTGGGTTACTTCAATTAGGACAGTTTCTTCTAGGTCCATCCATTTGTCTGCGAATTTCAAGATTCTATTTTTTCCACTTAGTAATACTCCATTGTGTAAATGTACCATATTTTCGTTATACTTTCTTCAGTTGAGGGGCATCTATGTTGCTTCCAGTTTCTGGCTATTACAAATAATGTTACTATCAACATAGTTGAACAGATGTGCTTGCAGTAAAAATGGCAATCTTGCCAAAAGCAATCTAAAGATTCAAAAAGTCAGTGCTCATAATTCCTGTGTCTTTCTAACCCTGTGTCCTCCAATTTTTGTGTTACTAGCAATCCTCTTAGTCCAGTAAGTGTTGCCATATGCACATGGGTTTAGGGTTGTCTACTGGAACATGTGCAAACATCTAGCTGCCCACCCCTGCAACCACCAATGGCTAATGAATCTCCTGCTACTGCTGGAGCATTTGTGGTTCCTCCCTCAACAATGTTGGAATTCTGACTGGTTTTTTTTTTTTCTTGTTATGGTGGCCTTGTGCAGGGAACCATTAGAGCTGTGTTGATAAATTTAGTAGCAATGTTAGGTCAGGAAGGTTGCTTTCATAACTCTATTTCCTTTCTGCTGATTATAATTGTGTGTGTGTGTGTGTGTGTGTGTGCGTGTGTGTGTGTGTGTAGGCGTGGGTGCTCACGCACATGTATGTGTGTGTTTGCTTTTAAAACAATAGATCTCTGTGTTTTGATTAAGTATACAAATAATAATTATTGTATTCTAGATAATATATTTATGAAATACATACATCTTGCTCTAGATAGGCATGGCCATAGTATGTGGGATGCTAAGGTACTTTTAAATAGTTTAGAAAACATTCAATCATTTCTGCATCCTGACATCCTAGAAATAATTTAAAGTGAATGTCTAACCTATTTCTAAGTTGAGTTTGTGTGTCTAATGGCTTTCTGGTAATATTTTAAGGGGGTTTAAAAATTAAAGCATTTAAATTTTTATGGAATGCTGTTTATATATTAAATACCTCAACAGTTGATGTGATTAAACCAGAGTCTACAAATTAATCCCATGAGAAGAAATCCTTTGAACATCTGTGAAATTCTTTTTCAATTATTTTTAATTTTAGTTAAAATTTCATCAAGGCATCTTGAGAGTCCCTATTTGTTCTCTTGTAACAGTACTATTGTCCTTTCAGACTACATGTCTATGCTGTAATTTTCATCTGACTGTTAATCACTTTCATATTGAGATGTCAGGATACATCAAAATTAACTTATGTCTGAAACAAAATTCAATCTTCACATTAAATGTACAATCCTCTTTGGGATCAATGGCATGGTTCTCATAATTATGAATGCTCAAATATGTTTTGCATAGAAATTGTCATTATTTGTGTATTTTATGTACTTCCTTCCAGTGTACAGAAAACTTGCACATATGCTAGTGAATGCATGTATACTCACAGTTTTCCAATTCACCTATTATTTTGAGTAACCGAATTCTTCAGTGATGGTAAAACTTTATAAAACCTTTTGAGTTTTCAGTAGTTAACAAATGAATTTACTAGGAGTTAAGATGATCTTTATATTGTTTTCCTCAAATAAAATCAAGAATTATCATATAATTAATATTCAATGTTTTGATACAATGTCTTAATTACCTTTGTCAATAATATTTTATTCACTTATTATTAATTTGTGATAACCTTGCTTTGCTCTTTTATGTTTGTATCATATATTTGAACTTATATTTCAAAACTTACCATTTAAACTAAAATGAAAAGCAAGATACTGCTAGATCCTCAGCCCTTCTGAATTATTAGCTAAGTTATTTTGAGATGAATTTCACCAACTTCCTCAGGTTGTTCTTGAACACATTTTAGCCAAGGCAGACTATATACTCTACATTTTCATGTCTTACTTTCCTTAGTATCCTGAATTACAGACCTGTGACATCAAGGCCATATATAAAATACATCGTAAAATGTACAAACAAATGGATTGAGATGTGTTTAGATACAATGTAACATTATTCAGGCATAAAAAGAATAAAGAAATTATCTTATTTACAGGAAAATAGTTGGAATTAGAGAACAATTACCTAAGCTAAAGGAGGATAAAACTAATTCATGCTATCATTCAATTTTACAAAATTATAAGTTGATATCTTAGGATAGAATGTAATAAAAATCAAAAGACATAAGGAAAAACAAGTAGAATGTGAAATATAGGCATGATAACTAATGAATATCAAAATACATATAAAGCAGAATTTCACATACTTTAATATAAGATTATGCTAATCCAAAGCAAGGTCGTATTTTATTCAAAACATAATAATTAGACTAATATGACAGTGTCCAATGCAAGGAACTGTTTGAGGAGATACAAATATGAATTCTGTGCTCACTTTGGCAGCACATAAAGTAAAATTAGAACCATACAGAGTACATTAAAATGGCCCCTGTACAAGGATGACATGCAAATTCATGAAACGTTCAATATTTTTAAAAATCAACCAACCAATGGAAGGAAGTGATTCAAACAGTGCAAGGCTTGAAAGTTGAAATAGAGACAATAAAAAAACACAGTCTTAGGGAATGTTGGAATTACAAAGGCTGGGTATATGATCAGGAAATACAGATGCAATCATAATCTACAGAATACAAGAGATTCAAGAGAGAATCTAGGAGTTGAAGAAATAGATTCATTGACCAAAGAGAAATTTTATTTTTCTTTTGTTTTTTTTTTCTTTTGAGACTGAATTTCTGTATTGTTTTGGAGGCTTTCCTGGAACTCACTCTGTAGACCAGACTAGCCTCGAACTCACAGAGATCCACCTGCCTCTGGCTCCCGAGTGATAGAATTCAAGGTATGTACCACCAATGCCCAGCTGACCAAAGAAAATCTTAAACCCAGCAAATTCCTCACACAAAATATCCAAGAAATATGGGACACAGAGAAAAGACCAAATCTAAGAATAATAGGTATAGAGGAGTGTAAAGACACCCACCTCAAAGGGGCAGAAAACATATTCAACAAAATCATAGAAAACTTTCCCAACCTAAAGAAAGATATGCCAATGAAAGTACAATATGCTTACAGAACACCAAATAGAGTGGACCACAAAGAAAAAAACCCTTAACACATAATAATAAAACCCCAAACACACAAAATAAGAATATTAAGCAGTGGAAAAAAAGAATATCAGCAATGGAAAAAAGCCAAGTAACATATAAAGACAAACCTATCAGAATTACACCTGATTTGTCCATGGAAACTCTGAAAGCCAGAAGGTCCTGGATACATATTCTACCAACACTAAGAAACCACAGATGCTAGTCCAGACAACTATACCCAGGAAAGCTTTCAATCACTATGAATGGAGAAACAAGATATTTCATGACAAAATAAGATTTAAAAAACACATATCCACTAATCCAGCACTACAGAAAGTACTGGAAGGAAAATTCCAACCCAAGGATCATAATCACACTCACAAAAAAAAGGCAATAGATAATCCCACTATACCAAACAACAAAAGAAAAAATGCAAGAAGGACGAATACAGACACAATACAACCATCACCAACAAATTCAAAAAACAAAAGTTGACAGTCAATGGTCATTAATATCCATAAATATCAATGGTCTTAACTCACCTATAAAAAAGACACAGGCTAACAGACTGGATACGAAGAAAGAATCCATTCTTCTACTGCATGCAAGAAACACACCTCAACTTCAAAGGCAGTTGTTACCTCAGAAGGGTTGGGAAAAGATTCTCTAATCAAATGGACACAAGAAACAAGCTAGTATAGCTATCACAATATCTAACAAATCACATTTCAAACTAAAATAAATCAAAAGAGATGAAGAAGGTAATTTCAAATTCATCACAGAAAAAAAAATCCATCAGGATGATTTCTCAATTCTAAACATCTATCCACCAAATACAAAGTCACCCACATTTTTAAAAGAAACATTACTAAAACTCAGACATGAAACTTCACACACTTATAGTAGGAGACTTCAACACCCCACTGTCACCACTAGACAAGACCACCAAACAGAAACTTAAGAAAGAAACAAAGGACCTAACAGAAGTTACAAAACAATTGGTTTAACATACATCTATAGAACATTCCATCCAAACACAAAAGAATATATGTTTTTCTCAGTGCTGCATGGAAGCTTACCTAAAATCGACCACATACTCAGCAGCATACCAAACCTCAACAGATACAAAAATTTGGAATACCCTCCTATATCTTATCAGACCACAATGCATTAAAGTTAGAATTACAAAAGAATACAAACTATGCAAACCCTAAAAACACATGGAAATTGAGCAATGTGCAATTGCACTATTCCTGGATCAAGGAAGAAATAAAGAAAGGAAACAAAGACTTCCTAAAATTCAATGAAGATGCAGACACAACATACCCAGACTTACATGGAACCCTTTGAAAGCAGTGCTAAGAGTAAAGTTCATAGCAATAAGTTCACACTAGAGAATTAACAGTACACCTGAAAGTTCTAGAACAAAAGCAAGCAAACTTACCCAGGAGGCGTAGATATCAGGAAATAATCAAACTGAGGGCAGGAATAAATAAAGTAGAAATAAAGAAAACAATACAAGGAATCAATGAAATAAAGAGATGGTTCTTCAAAAAAATAAAAAAGGCAGAGAAACCTTTATCAAAACTAACAAAAAGTCAGAGAGAACATGTAAATTAACAGAATCAGAAATGAAAAGGGAGACATAACAATGTACACTGTGGAAATCCAAAGAATCAGTTTGAAAACCTGGACTCCAAAAAATTTAAAATTTAAAACAAAAGGACATTGTTTTCTGGATAGATATCACTTTTCAAAATTAAATCAAGAACACATAAACAATTTAAATAAACATAACCCTTAATAAAATAGAAGGAGTCATCAAAATACTCCCAACCAAAACAAACAAAAAACACAGGGTCAGATGGTTTCAGTGCAGAATTCTACCAGAAATTGAAAGAAGACTTAACACCAATACTCCTCAAATACTTCCACACAATATAAGCAAAAGGGTCATTGCCAAACTCTTTTTATGATGCTACAATTACCTTGGTACCCAAGCCACACAAATACCCAATTAAGAAAGAGAACTACAGACAAACAGCCCTCATAAACGTTGATACAACAATACTCAATAAAATACTGGCAAATCAAATCCAAAAACACATCACAAAAATCATCCACCATGATCAAGTAGGCTTCATCCCAGAGATGCAGGGATGGTTCAACATATAAAAAGACATCAATGTAATCCACCATCTAAACAAACTGAAAAAGAAAACTACATGATCATCTCACTAGATGCTGAAAAAATCAAACATCCCTTCATGAAAAGGGTCTTGGAGAGACCAAGGATAACAGGAACATACCTAAACATAATAAATGCAATATACAGCAAACAGGCAACATCTGACTAAATGGAGACAAACTCAGCACAATTTCGCTAAAGTCAGGAACAACACAAGGTTGTCCACTCTCCATATTTCTTCAGTATTGTACTAGTATAGATAGATCAGTACTAGATAGATCAGTAAGACAAAAAAAAAAGACATCAAGGAGATAAAGATTGGAAAGAAAGAAGTCAAACTTTGACTATACGCAGATGATATGATAGTTTACCCAAGTGACTAGAAAAATTCTGCGAGGAAACTCCTACAGCTGATAAACACCTTCAGCAAAGTGGCAGGATAAAAGTTACAAAACTATCAGTAGCTCTTCTATGTACTGATGATAAAAGGGCTGAGAAAGAAATCAGAGAAATAATACCGTTTAAAATAGTCACACAAACATAAAATAACTCGGGGTAACGCTTATCAAACATTTGAAAGACATGTATAACAAATACTTTGAGTTTTTAAAGAAATAATCAAAGAAGATACCAGAAAATGCTCTTCAATAGATCAACATAGTAAAAAAGATAATCTTGCCAAAAGGAATGTACTGATTCAGTGCAATCTCCATCAAAATCCCAGCCCAATTATTCACAGAAATTGAAAGAACCTACTCAAGTTAATATGGAAAAACACAGTAACTAGGATAGCCAAAACAACCCTGTACAATAAAAGAACTTCTGGAGGTATCACCATTCCTGCAAACTCTAGTTTAGTGGTATAGTTTTGAAAACAGCTTGGTACTGGCAAAAAATAGACAGGTAGATCAATGGAATCCAATTGAAAACCCTGATGTCAACCCACATACCTATAAGCACCTAATTATTGACAAAGAAGTTAAGATTATTCATTAGAAAAAGGAACCCATCTTCAACAAATGGTACTAGAATAACTGGATGCTGACATGTAGAAGATTGCAGATAGATCCTTATATATCCCCATGCACAAAACTTAAGTCCAAATGGATCAAAGACCTCAACATAAACCCAGCCACACTAAACCTCTTAAAAGAGAAATTTGGAGGTACACTTGAACTTATTGTTTCATGAAACTACTTCGTGAATATAACACCACTAGCAAAGACACTTAGATCTACAATTAATAAATGGGGTCTCCTGAAAATGAGAAACTTCTGTAAGGCACAGGATACAGACAACAAGACAAAATGTTATCCCAAAGAATGTGTAAACATCTTCAACAACCCCATATGTGACAGAGAGCTGATTTCCAAAATATAAAAAGAACTCACGCTAGTCACCTAAACCCCCGAATAATTAAATTAAAAGGTGGGGTACAGAACTAAGTAGAGAATTCTAAATAGAGGCATCTAAAATAGTTGAAAGACAACTAAGAAAAGATTTAACTTCCTTAGTCATTAGGGAAATGCAAATCAAAACAACTCTGAGATACCATCTTGCTCCTGGCAGAATGGCTAAAATCGGGAACACCAAATACAGTTTATGCTGGAGAGGATGTGGAGAAATGCAAACATTCCTCCATTGCTGATGGGAGTACAAACTTCTGCAACCAGTTTGGAAAGCTGTATAGTGGTTACTCAGGAAAATAGTAATCACTCTATCACAAGATCCAGAAATTCCACTCTTAGGCATATACCCAGAAAATGCACATTCATACAACATGGACATCTATTCAACTACGTTCATAGAAGCATTATTTGTAATAGCCAGAATCTGGAAGCAACCTAGGTGCCCATTTGCACACTGGAGAAAAAAACAAAAGAACCCGACAGGCAAATTTATAGAAGTAGAAGAAAACATCCTGAGTGAGGTAACTCACTCAAAAAAAAAAAAAAAAAAGCCGGGCAGTGGTGGGGCACGCCTTTAATCCCAGCACTCGGGAGGCAGAGGCAGGTGGATCTCTGTGAGTTCGAGGCAGGGCTGGATCGATAGCCTCCGAAACAATACAGAGAAACCCTGTCTCGTAAAAACCAAAAAAAAAAAAAAAAGACAAACATGGTATGTACTCACTCATATATGGATATTAGAGATAGAACAAAGGATTGCCAGTCTACAATTCACACTGCTAGAGCAGCTATGAAA